CCGAAACGAAACGAATTTTTTCCGGCTGCACATGTCTACTATGTACATCTGTTACTCAAAGAAGCCAATCAGATTACATGTTTAAAAAAAAAAATCTGATTCATGTGTGTTAGTAAACAACCTCAGTTTACAGTCTGTAATGTTATTCTAGGTCAGCTCTAGGTCTCCTGATGCAAAGAAAGCAACTTTAAGTAAACGTACGCTCTAAAATACATTTTGCTCTTCTCTTGTAAATTAATATCAAGTGTGCACTGCCTTAGCACACATAGCTGTGAGAGCAGAAGCATAGCTCACTAAGCGGGAGTTGGTGACATTCCTGAATACACTGCAATACTCAAAATTACTAGCAGAACTTAACAAAGATGGGCTTTCAGTGAAAGCAGCTGGCAGACATGGCACAAACACCTACATAGTTTTGTAGTAGCTTCAACAGTTTAACAGGGTTCAAATTCTTTCAGACTCATTTTAATAAAATTATTATTAAATATATTTCTTGCAAAATACTTGTAGCTACCCTGTATATCATACAGAAAGAATTTGATTCGCATTAATAATGCACAGCAAAATAACATAAAGCTGATTTTTACACATACAGTCACATAAAAACACCCTGAGCTGTGAGAATCTACACAGTGCTTTTTGGGGGAAAAAACAACCCACAAGATTGATCAGAAATACAAATTCAAAGAGCAGGCCATTATGTCTTCAAAACCTACATAGTTCCCCAGCATAGAATAAATAATTGAAGTATTATTATGGCAGTTTAGGTTTTTAAGACTTAATCTAGCATTAACTGCCTCGCGTATGACAATGTTTGCTGTACAAATGAACCCTTTTAGTTAAAAAGAATCAATGGTAACCAGGATGGCATCTACAATCAGTAGAATCACAAGGGGGGGGGGGGGGGGGGGCGCGGCACCGGGTGACACCATCAGAGGGGGTGACATCAAAATGACTCACAGCCATTTTGGTGTCACCCCCTCTGAAAAGGCAGGTACTGGGTCATGGACCAAGTGCCCGACAGCTGTAGAGAGGAGGGGACCCAGCTGCATACCTAATCTTGTCAGATAAACGTCCCCTCCTCTCTCGGCCGGTGTCCTTCACCGAGATGGCCGCCGGCAGTTAACTGCACGTGATGTCATTACATGCATGGCTGATGGCATTCCGGTGGGTGACACACGGTGGTCGCTCCGTGTAACACCCTGCCTGGGGATGCCTCTGTCTACAATCTAAAACTTTTCAGTATTTCTGGTCATACTAGTACTAGTACTACGCAAACCTGACTTTACTTTCTTAAACAATAAAAAACACAATGGCAGTGTGCAGCAGGAACACTTAAGTGCCTGCTCCTATCTTAGGGAAACCGATTTCTAGACATGTAAGGTTTGTTTGCTTCTGAATTGCAATTTGGACGAATTTCGGCATATATTTAGACATTCGGATGCATTCGAATTTCCGACTGACAGAAATAACAAATCTGAACGTCTTCAAATTTTTGATACAGCAAATTTGGATACATCCAAATTTTTTTCTGAATCTCATTCGGAATGAAATTGTGTTGTTGAAGACAAATAATAATAACAAAAAAAACCAGCATGGAGTCCCCTTCTCAATTTTGGGACCCCAATGCCAAAAAAAAAAAAGTGTGACGTCATGGGACTTGTTTCGCCCAATGAAGGGAGGCATCCAGATCCAGGTAAGCCCCACTGCCCTCGGACCCCTACAACCAACAGGCCAGGGTTGTGGGGAAGAGGCCCTTGTCCCTTGTTGACTTGGGGATAAGGTGCTTTCGCAGGGGGAAAGCACCCTCCCCATGTTGAGGGCATGGTGCAGGTGGGGGAGTGTGCTCTGCCAGGAAACTGCTAGGATTAAGGGTCTGACAAGGGATTTTTTTTTGGGGGGGGGGGGCCCTATATTTTACATTTTTGGGGGTCCCCCGAAAATGCCTTCCATACTTATAGGGAGGGCTAAACGCACACTGTTTTTTTGTTGTTTCTGTGCACTGTCAAAAGTTAAAATGAAAAAAAGTAAACATTTAAAGTCACTTTTCTGCAACGAACACTTGTTCATAATTATCATTTGACTCATCCGAAAACAACAATTCGGATTTGTCTAAATACGAATCAGGAAAGGAACGGACTTTTGAACCGGGATCCTGAAAAACAAATAACGAAAAAATCTGAAATTAAATTAATTTTTGCTGGCCTACATGTCTACCGATTTCTACCCCAGGCAAGTGTGCAGTAAAAACAAGCAGTTTTTACATGGATCAACCTAAAACTTAACGTGTGGGTGCTCAAATTTGTTCACATGCTGCTGCAAATTTTATACAGTATGTCGTGTTTGGCAGGCTATTGGAGTCAATAGGACCACGCCGCAACCATGTGTCAAGTAGTTATGGCACAGTATTGCAATGCGAAAACCCCCTTGAAAAAACAACAGGGATTTAGGAGGCAGCAATATCGCCTCTTGAATGATTGCAAACCGCACTCTTCAAAGTGATTCAAAGCCCCTTAAAAGTCAACTGCACGTGTTAATGAGGCCTAAATCCCAAACTGAGACTGGAGTATGAGGCACTCAAGCCTTCCAGAGTGCAGTGATGATGCTGTGGCCTCATGGTAAAAGTCTGCTGCAGTTGACCAACAATGGCCTCAATTTGGAGCCTTGAGTATGACGGGTCTGAGGCATTAATTAACACATCCTCTGCCTCCCACAGTGCAGTGGTCAAGCAATTACTAGTCTAAAGAACTGTTGTAAGTGCATGTGATGATGCTGTGGATGTGCATTTTTCACTAAAAGTAGTTAAAAAAAAAAAGGAATCCTAAGGAGTTATAAATGCTTTTATAATTATTGTTATTTATTCATGCATTTGTTTTATCTTTTTTCAGTTTAAGCATTATTACAGATATCAAAAATGAAATGTACAAATCTTTATTTGTTCTGCATCACCAGTGAACATATAAACAGAAACCTGCAGTCTCTTTGCAGCTACTTCATGTCTAAGTGAACGGACTTTCACAAAGGCTGCATGGCATTTTCTGGGGGTAGGATTCCGGATGGTGTCAACAATTGTCATTGGCTGTATAATGTGTGCTGAAATAGTCACTTGTTGTCTCCATCCCTATGGCAGGGTGACAATGCAGAAGCACAGTTGGGAGACAGGGACCAAGCATTGTTATCCTATAATTGAAATGGCATGAACATTGACTTTTATGGTAGAATCACCTGGTATAATTTTAATGAAAGATTTAATAATGTTAAAAATCCCATTTGAAATGGACAGCATGAATAAGCATTGCAATGAACAGTGAGGGTGAAGAGGTTAAGCCGCTTCCCTAATACATGGCAAGACTATAATAACTTATTATTGAAATAGTTTTAATCTTTTTCATCCCCTTGCAACCAACTTCCAGTGGCCCTTTAAGGGGATCTCAATGTTGGGATTCGATCATGTGATCGTTGTGATTGGCTGTTATGGTAGTCACATGATCATGAGTCCGTCCCACTAGCTCCTGATCTAAAAATGATGACCAGAAGCTGGTGATGCATGCTAGTGAGCATGCTCTCAGCACTGAACAGCCGGCTGACTGATGCATGTGTACAGCTAGAGTTAAGGTCCACCTGCTGGGATGATGCCCATGTGTGTTAAGCCAGAGGAAAGATGTTACAAAAAACTTAGCAACAATTGCTCAAGCACCGCGGTCAGTGTCCATGTTAGGACCACAATACACAATATAATCTGACCATACAATCTTTGTACAGTCAATTTTAGATTTAGCAAAACTATGTAATCTGAGGGCCTATCTAACCTATCCAAATCAGGTAAGCCCTTGCAACACATACAGTAGATGTTGGTAGATCTAAAAGAATTCGTACAACAGGAGCTTCATAGTTCCTCCCAATTTCTGCCCCTGTAACATTTTCTAGACAGCACAAAAAACAGGGCATGTTTTAAGTAAAGGCAGGTCAATTGAAAAAAAATAAATAAAAAGGAGTTAATGTACCAAAAAACGATAATTACAGGTACTAAACGAGTACAATTATCAGAATACAATATTTTTGTCACCATTGGTCCTTTAAGAGATTTAAGCTGATGGAATAATCATGCATTTTACTGGTCAGGAAGCATGGGGTTGCATTGTTTTGGATGATGTAATGTGATCTCTATGTAACCCCCATTCAACATTGTAACAAAGACTGGCCATACAAAAGGCCTAGGTTACCATTTACCATTCCTGTTTGAGAATTGCTATTGGCATTCAGTTAGTGCTTAGTTTCAGTTACATTCCCAAAGTGCTGCATAAGTTGAAGACATTTTACACATGCTGGCAAACCAGTCCTTTATATTTTCTGCGCGAGAATCATTTTTTTTTTCAGGCCATGCTAAAGACCCTCAAAGACTGGAAAGTAGATTTAAGGTGTCATTGAGCAAGTCATTTTGAGAATGGTGGGATCTCGCAGACATTGATGTCCGAATAGTGTACTCTCAGGAAAGTTTCATTGTGCCCATAATCACAACCTGGTTTTAATTTTTATACCCAGACTGCAAAAATTATTTTTAGAAGATGACTGGTTGCTATGGGCAACATAAAATATTTTTAAGAGCACACTTTTCATACTCTACACTAGAGATGAGCTTAGGTTTGGACTGAACCCAGTCCAAACCCGGGCACATCTGAAGCAGAAGGCATTGCACTTAGCTGCCGACCAATCAGTTGCAGCCAATTAATTCCCTGCCTGCAACAGCACATAAACAAAGGGATGGGATGATGTGATGTCACTGACCTTATATCGCCCCTTGGCTTTGTTTGGTCAATAACGTATAAGGTCAATGACATCAGCACAAGTACTCCTTTTTTTAAGCTCAGCTGCAGGGCGGGGAATTCCGGATTCAAAAGGAGCTCAGTTTTGGACTAGGTTTGGTCCGAACATAAGCTCATCCCTACTCTTAACTGGCCACTGGGTTGTGCATGAGATTTTCTTGTGGTAAACCAAAAAAAGCAAAATGTAGAGCCTTTTTTGCCTGCCATGCCTGTGCACAGTTCACCATGTACTGTGCTGGGTCTGCCACTTGTTAGCCATCTGTGATTAAAGGGACCAATGACGGTAACATTCATATTATCTTTGGGATAGTTAAATGTCCACTGACTACAACTCCCTCTCTTAAGCAGGTAATTTTTGAGGACATTACTTTAGTTTCCCTGCCTCCTCCCTTGCGATGCAGAAGGATTGTGGATTGTGGATTATGAGGATTTTGGGTGCTTGAAACAAAACTTATTGTAAATTAGGGATCATGAACTCTGCAAATTCCTGCTGTAGTTCCTGCTGTTGCTAGGGTTGCAACCTGTCCAGGATTCACCCAGACAGTCTGGGTTTTGAATGCTGTATCCAGGTTTCATGGCAGCAGGAACCCTAACACAAGATATTAGGCAGACAGGGGCAACCAAAATTAAGATAGGGGTTATTGGCCCCCCACTGAAAATAGTCTCAACTGTGATCTTTACATATGAATGGATGGCGCTATTTACCACTCATTCTCCCCAAAAAATGTCTGTGCGTTGCTTGAGTGTTGGGGTTTCGCTTGAAGAAAAGGTGGCAAGCCTAGCTGTTGCTCAAACATTCTGAAATGAAGAGGCATTACACACATGACATCAGAAGATTACACTCCCTTATTTTCTTATTGTTCAACATAGCAAAAATACAAAATGCGACAGACCAGATAAATAATGATACCGGTAAATCAGTCACTAGGCTGTTACTAATTTCTAATTTGAATTACTACATCTGAAGTTCCCATTTTGGTCATCAAACAACTTATTGAAAACTAGAACAACACACTGAAATGTCGGACAGACTGTTGTGCACTTTAGCAATACTTTTAGGTTACATATATTAGTAGCATTAATATGTATGTCTCAAACTCTTAAGGCAAAAAATAAGTTTAAGTTCTTAAGTGAGGTGTATTATTATTACTAAAATTATCTTATTGCTCTGTTCTATTTTTGCAGCTAGTACACATGACTATTTCAACTTACCACAGGCTGTTTACATAAGTAGCGGCATAGTTCACCAATGTACTGGAACACTGTAACATTATATTTTTTGCAGTCGATCCAAAACTGACTCGCTGAAAACTTCTTCCTCAGTACACAAGTTGCACCTGCATGTGATATTTAAAACATACATTTATTTATTACAGGTAATTATATAGCGCCTGCAATGTACGCAGCACTTTACATAGTTGCACATTCACATCAGTCCCTGCCTTCAAGGAGCTTACAATCTAAAGGTGCCCATACACTGCTCGATTCTCCTACGAGAATCGCGGGAAATCCCACGATCGTACGAGAATCGAGCAGTGTGAACGAAGACGTGCGACCGTTTCTACTGTACGGTCGCACGTCTTTTGTCTAAGGAGCACGCTAGAAAACCAGCCGAAAATCGTACGATTTTTGGCTGGTTTGAACGGTGCTCGGGAGACAAATGCCGAACGGGCCGGTGTGCGCATGCGCACACCGCCCGTTCAGCATTGCGGTCATCGGAAGCCCGCCCCTCAGGGGGGCGGGCTTGCGATGATGGAGAGTACGATCTGCCTGTCCAAGATGGGCAGATCGTACGTTTTTTTAATCACTTTACAACCATCGCAAGACCTTAGTCTTGCGATGGTTGTACAGTGTATGGCCACCTTAAGGTTCCCATCTCACATACAGGGCCAATTTAGACAGGAGCCAATTAACCTACCAGCATGTCTTTGGAGTAAATTACAATTACATTTATCATGTTACAATTACATTCATCAAATAAACATTATAGATTTAAAGCTGAACTCTGGGTACAAAAGCTTTATTGAAGTATATTCCTCAATAGCCAGAGAGGATATACAACTGCTATCTGTGCACCAATCCCCTATACAGCCCCAGATATTACCATATAAAAATAGCATCATCACTGTGCTGTTCATAACTTGTGCAGAGCTGTGGCAGGGACCAAGCAGGCCCACGCATTATAGACTGCCCACAGAAAACTACAGAAGGGGCGTATATAAGACCAGTCACCTTGCACAAGGAGAGAGAGAAGTAGTGACGTATGACACAAAAAGTGGAGAAAAAAACCCCCCAAACCTGACACATTCCACGCAAAACTCCAAAAATGGACTGGACAAATTATTGGCACCCTCAATTAATATTTTGTAGCACAGCCCTTGGAAAAAATAGCTGAATTCAATGGCTTCCTGTAACCATCAACGAGTTTCTTACATCTCTGTACATTCATTTTGGACCACTCTTCTTTCGCCAACTGCTCCAGGTCTCTCAGATTGGAAGGGTTCCTTTTCCCAACTGCTGTTTTGAGATCTCTCCACAGGCGCTCTATATGATTCAGATCTGGACTCTACTGACCAGTCCAGTACTCTCCAGTGCTTGTCTGAAACCATTTCTGGGTGGTTTTTGACGTGTGCTTTGGGTCACTGTTCTGCTGTAAGACCCATGACCTCTGACGGAGACCCAACTTTCTGACACTAGGCCCTACATTGCACCCCAGAATTCTTTGGTAGTCTTCAGACTTCATAATGCTATGCACACAGTCAAGACATCCAGTGCCTGAAGCATCAAAGCAACCCCAAAACACCAGTGAACCTCCGCCATGTTTGACTGTAGGGACTGTATTTTTTTAAAGGCCTCATTTCTTTTCTGAAAACAGTAGAATGATGGGCTTTACCAAAAGGCTGTTATTTTGTTTCTTCTCTCTACAGCACATTCTCCCAAAAGGACTTTGGCTTCCTCATGTAAGTTTTGGCAAACTCCAATCTGCCTTTTTTATGTTTCTGTGTCAGCTGTGGGGTCCTCCCAGGTCTTCTACCATAGCGCCCCTTTTCATTCAGATGGCGATGTATAGTGCGAGCTGACACAGTTGTACCCTATGCCTGAAGGTCAGCTTGAATTTGTCTGGAAATTGATGGAGGGTCTTTATCCACCATTCGAACAATCCTTTGTTACAATCTTTGATCAATGGTTCTCTTTCATCCACGTCCAGGGAGATTAGCTACAGTGCCAAGGGCTGTAAATTTGTTGACAATGTTGCACATTACACAGGAACATTAAGATCCGTCACGATCTGGACACGGGAACTTTTTTTGTGTCATACCAATACAAACAAATGAAATAAATATGACATTGCCTAAACATTTGTAATTGCAACAATTTTCTGTGCGAAGTGGTGCATTATCTGACAGAAATGCAGAGGTGCCAATATTTATGGCCATGACTGTATATCATTTCCATGCTGTATGTGTGCATTTACATACCTGGACATTAGAGACTCACTATATTATTTGGTATATGTCTAAAAATCTGTCTTTATTGTAGCTTCCTGTAACTCAGTGCTCATCAGCACTGGGACAGGGATGACAGCACTGCAAGCCGCTCTACAGTCTCTACTGTATTTTACACTGCTGTCAGTCTATAACAGGGAGCTTATTGACAAGAGGAGTGGGCAAGAGTGATGACCTCATCAGTGTGGCGATGCTCCTTCACTGAGCAGCCAGCAGGCTAGCGACCAAGCAGCATTGCTCAAATGCAATGGAGAAAAGGAAGGACATTGGCCTGACTATGCTGCTTGACAGAGGTGTAAGGGTCAAAAGACTGGCTGAATAGAATTATATATTTCCAATATATATTTCAGCCATGTATTTAGCAGCTTGTCTTGAGTTTAGTCGTATCTGATCATTGGCTGCATTTTGTGCAAAATTTAAACTGATGTTCTAAAGCAAATAGGTGCATCTAGGCATTGGGGCATTATTGTTTTCAGTGCGCAGATACACAAATCATTTTCTTACCAATGAACGAATACATTTTTCATTCATGGGGGAGCTGAGTTTCAAGGGCTGGATTTATTACTAGCCCCAAAACATGTAAATATATAAGTTTCTGTTCATCACAGAGTAAGAGAACTGCAGTGACTGTATGGCCTCATGAACGTGGGCTGGAAAAATGCAGCCTTCAGATGCATTGTCCATTTTTTCAAGCAGAACTCCGGACACAGGTTTTATTAACCCTTGCAGTGGGGCTTCCACTGCACTTCAAAGGTTAACTACTCGATATGTCTAGGTTAAAAAAATAAAATGTAAAACTTGCCCAATTCTCAAAGCTATCTGTCTGTCACAGCTCTCCCTCCTGCCTCTTTCCTCCTCCTCCGCAGTGATAGGATGTTCCTCGGCATCCTCACGTCCTATACACAGTGCATAGGACACAATTTACACACGGGACCTTAGACTGCTGCAGCGGAGGGGCAATGAGGCTCCAGGGACCGACCTAAAAGCAAGCCATCACTGCAAGGGTTTAATAAAATTTGTGCCAAGAGTTCTTCTTTAATGTCTCTGAACACAGCTCAATTTCAGCCAGTTTGTCCATGCAAATTGTGATGTGTAGATCCGTACACATCATAGATCTAGCCCGTAAGGGGGCTAGGTGCCAACCTGGGAACTGTAGGCCGGTCAGTCTAACATCGGTAGTTTGTAAAATGCTAGAGGGCATAATAAAGGATTATCTGGTAGAATTTGTTCAGGAAAACGGGATAGTTAATGACAATCAGCATGGGTTCAGGAAAGACCGTTCCTGCCTAACTAACTTGCTAACTTTTTATGAGGGGGTAAGTAGAGATATGGACGGAGGTAAGCCGGTAGATGTGGTATATCTGGATTTCTCAAAGGCTTTTGATACGGTACCACACAACGTTCAGGGGCATAAAAAATGGCCCAAACCTGTGTTTGGAAAGACGCTTAGTGGCATAATTTAAGTGCATACGCATGTAAAAGCATAGAAATGCATGTACACGCACATACATGCACAAGTAAATCTATTCCAGTGGCTAATATAAATACTGTACATATTCTACCCAATATAATGAGTTTGTGTTCATATGCCTCTAAACTCGATACGCACATAAATGTGCAATAAACACAAGTAAATACATGCCAAAACAAGCATTTTTATGCTGGATTTTTCTGCCAGCTTCTGGCAGAAAGATCCTGCGTAGATGGGAGTATTTTACCATGCCTGTCTGCATGAGCCCTAACAGGCCAGGTCACTTAGAGCTCATACACATAGGCGTATTTTAAAAAAATTGCAAGAATGACAACCCTTACAGGATGAACATTGTAGCCAGCAGTGTAGTCATGGTGTTGTTTTAGGGCTGGTTTACACCATCTCCAGTGCATTCCGGCACGGTTAGAACGCACTGGATCACATAGTGGAAGCCTCCCTGCGTGCACAATTTTTTGCTATTGCACCAGATTGGAACGTGGACATTGCTGTGCCATACGTTCTGGTGCAGGCAATCGCACTGCAGGAAGGGGGGGTTGGGGTGCCATTGACTTGAACGCCCGACAGTATCAGGAGAGAGGAGGGGACCCGGCGGCATACCTTATCCCGCCGCGTGACTGTCCCCTCCTCTCTCCGGCAGGTATCAGAATACTGCCGCGTGTGCACGATGACGTCATCGCACACGCGCGTGGTGACGTCACGCGCATGCGCAGTGACGTCTCGGCGGGGTGACACTTGGTTACCTCTCCGGGTGTCACCCAGCCTCGGGACGCCACTGATGCCATTCAGTGCATTCCAGCAGCTAACCGTGCTGGAACACACTGGAATTGGTGTGAACGGGCCCTCAGAGGGTGTAGTTAAATAATGAGTTTACATACCAGAGTTACAGTACGAATAAAAGGATAAATGAGTAATAAATGATACTGAGCTTAGTGGGTCAAATGGTAAAATAAATAATACAGTACAGGCAGCTGCAGTGTTTTAAAAAACAAGGAGAGTCCTAGTTATCCCAAGGATATAAAGAAATACAGTATACTCTCCGTTATCCTGTATTCAAATAAACAGAACTCTCATCTAACCAGAAAAAAAATCCCCTGTGTACTCACTGTTTTGCTGATCTGCGGCATGTACTATCCTGGAAATGATTGTGTGTTTATTTGTCTTAATTTACTTTTGATTACTGCATTTCAATTTTAATATGAAGTCAATACATTGTTTATGTTTTGATATGGCATTAGTTACACCATTTTTTTTTTTTCATAATAGCTCTTAAGCAACCAGAAAATCACTTTTTCAAAAAATCTACCAATCCCTGTGGATGCCGGATAATGAGGCGTTTACTGTATTAGAAACGTCAGAGATCTGCGCACACTGTGGTTACGGATGAAAAGCTACAAATCTAAAATGGAACAATGTTGCACCATATGATGATACTTGGTAGACAAACCAGTATCCTGCATGTCTGATCCAGCAGAAGAGTTCTCATGTGAGCACCATTTAATGAATGGGAAAAGTAAGATGCAAATGTACAAAGCAATACCGATTATGTTAATGCAGAACAAAGTCTGAGTACAGCTAATTTATCTGTGTGAGAGGCTTTCAGAGCTGATTCAGTGATAATAATGCCCTGATCCTCCAAAAATGTAAAAATGTCCAATAGAATCCAGAAAATTTAAAATAAATATTAATTGTTAACCGTGGAGAGCATAAAAATATAATGAATATAGAATCCAAAATTAGAACAAAAAGGTAATAAACAAGAATAAACTAAAATGATGTGATATGATGATATATGCATAGTCTGGCTTCAGTAAGAATATATAATGAGATGCATGACTCGTTTTGGATTCACACTGTAACATCTTAATTAAATGCAAAGAAGATCACATCATCATTATCACTGAATCAGCTCGGAAAACCCCTCACAGAGGTAAAGCAGCTTTACTAAGGTGGTTATTCACTCAGCTGCCGAAGGCAGCCGAATGAATAACCCAGCCGAAATGAAGTGAGCCAAACAACGTTCGGCTATTCAGTTCTGGCTTGTAGGGCTGATTTCAGCCGTACTGACAGTGCAGAAGGACTTCGACTCAGCCACTACAGCATCTGGATCAGCTGAGCAGAAGCTCCGGCAGCTTACCCGCTGCCGTTCGCCCCTATCCTCATAGGGGCTGAACGGCAGTGACTGAATAGCCGAATGCCGCCGAGGCCGGAGAGAACCACAGGATCAGCCGAAGCTACAGCTGGATCCTTCGGCTCCTTTGTGAATAGCCCCCTTAGACTTTGTTCTGCATTAGCATCACGTTTTCCCCATTAATTCAATGGCGCTCACATGAGAAGTGTTCTTCTGGATCTTACATGCAGATTCTATTTTGTCTGCAAAGCATTATTATACAATGCAACATTGTTTCTTGTTAAACTTAGCTTTTCATCCATATCCACCGCAAGTGCAGATCTCTGACATTTTTTTTTCTTTAAAGGATAACACATTAGCTCTTTTAATATAATATGAACACAACACAATCAATTACCTCTGCCTTTTATGTTCCCTCTGCTTTGAAAGCTGTCATCACCGGCCCAGGTCAGTGTAAACATTGTTTTGTTTACATTCAGTACTTAACCTGTCTGTATTGTTTAATGATACAATCAAGAGGGTAGCTGCCTGAATGTCTTTAGTGCTTGAAGCTAAAATGTATGATTCCTTTACTACACTGCACCTAAACCACTAGAAAAAGATCACAAACTGCTGGAAGGAATGTTTACACTACCCTGCACCTGTAATGACAGTTGTTATAGTGCAGGGAAAGAAAAGGCAGATAAAATCGGTAAGCCATTTAAAGTTTGTTGTCTTTGGATACAACTATCATCCTCATCATTATAAGGGAACCTGTATTAAATGACAGATGAAGTTTGCAATTAGTGACCTCATTCTGAAAATGCTAGCTGCAAGTTTGACAATGGGGGCCACACAGTAATTAGAAGTTAGCAGTCGTTCTAACCCTTTTAAACTCTACTAAAAAAAAATGCACATGATTGGGTATTAAAAGTGAACAGGAATTAGCTTTTCACCTGCTTGGATCAAGAATATTCACACAATTTATTGATTAAAGATTCTCAACTGCTTTACTAAATCAGTCTGATTGCTGATTGTCTTTTAATTTCCACTTCAGCAATAGTGATGAGCCAAATGTACCTGAGTTTAAAATGGGGCGGGTTTGGGAAACTTTACTTAAGATTGGGTGCCCAATACGAACCCCATTGATGTCAATGTGAGCCTAATTTTATAAATCATGTGGCTATGATTGAGCAATGATATCAACACTATCCCTGCCCATTTGCTTACGCGGCTGTTGATTCACAGCCATGTAAATAAATTATAAACTCTTAAAGATCATATAATTACAGCGAAATGCCAATTATCCTTACCCCCTCAGTACGAGATCTCGTACTGAGGGGGTAAGGATAATTGGCATTTCGCTGTAATGATATCACATTTGATTTTGATTATTGTGGTAGCACTCATATTCCCTCTTTATATGATTTTTAGACCACCTCCTTCTCCTAAAGAAGCGTTGTGTGGCGCGAAACGCGTAGAGAGCATTGCGAACATCGCACGATCACCCATCTATATGGTTCCACTTGAGGTTATTGGCAATACTGTTGAATGAGCTATACTTTTTTCCAACTACAATAGTCCATATCATATACTGTATCGTCCTTATATTGATTATGCCACAATCATGTCAATAGATTCTGTGATCATGTTTATTATAACTTTCGGAGTTGAACTTGATGGGTGTTAGGAGGTCCTCTTTATCTACATGTATTTTGTCCTTTGTTAATATATTTGCTACCAATATTTTTAACCTTTTTGTATTAATAAATAATATATTTTACTACATATACAATCTTTGTTTATTGGACTTGTCATTTGGTGCCTAAAAAACCCCAACTGCTTCCTCCCTTCATTTGTTATTATTTATTTATCACTGTTCATCAACAGTGAGTAATGGCGATGTATGGCTATACATCAGATATAGATGCTTGAATCAACAAGTATGCAGCCTAATAACTGCATTCAATGTGAGTATGTTAAAGCCAAACACCTAAATAATACTGGCAAAAATAGTAGTGGTAAAGGATAACATGCTGCCATAATGGACCACATTTGTTCTCAGTTCTGGCTGTTTGAACACTTTCACAATAATCGAGGCATTTATTAAATTTTGAAATATTAGGGCTAACATACTTTTATTTAGTATACATGTTTATATATGGGCACTGCATAAAAAGACACACGCAGAATGTTCAAGTTAAAATTGAACACAGATAACATACCAAGGTAGACACATCCACCGATCCCAACAAGGGAGGCAGCACTATGGTAGAGTGGTAGTGTGACATATACAACATCTTCAGGAGTGCCCCCGAATGCCCATAATCCAGCAGCACCCCGCAATGCTTGAAGCTGACTTATAACAGCTGCTTTTGGAAGACCTACAAAAATGAATAACATTACCTACTGGATGTGCCATATAACATCATTTAATCCATACAAGTAACAGAATAATAGCAAATGTAGTTACATTTACTAGCATTTTAACCATGATAAAACCACTTGCCCAGTAAATGTCAGACCTTAGGCTTGCAACATTGCAGTTGTCAGGGGATAAGTAATAGAATTCACCACATATGCCTTAAAGTGACACTAAATGTAGGCGTTAAATCTTAAACATGCATTCAAGTAGCCCACTATATGCTGAGTTTTGGGTCAAAGGAGGACATAGTATACTGTTTGTCCTGGGATCCTAAAGAAAACTATGGCCAAAAAACGTTGGCCCATAGTTCTCTTTTAATAATGATACAGGAATGTTTTTAAATCAAATATATTCTAGGAGTTAAAAACAAATTTTGTGTTTTGGCTTTCTACACAAGAAAGGTTATTTTACATCATCCTTTTTGTACATTAGATAGTACTTGTCACTTTACATGAAATTACGTTGCAGTGATACCTGTAGTTCCTGATGTGAAGATATAAAGCGTTGCAGCGTTAGTGCTGCTGACAAAGCGCAGGTTTGCAGGCACAGGCTCATCTGTTACTGAATCCAGCTTGTCTAGGACAGCAGTTACCCCTGGGAGACTCGTTTCCCTAGCCATTACCCAAACTGTAATGTTGTCTTCCTGCAGGCTTGGTAGGATCTCTTCCAATGATTCAAGCATGTCTGGTAAGAAAAAAAGAACACCAATATATAAATAAAGCAGTCATGATTTGGTAGCAATTACAATGGAACTCTAGAAGAAATAATTGTCATAGAGTCAGTAAAGAATAAAATCCCTCTCATACTGTCTATGTCGTCCTTGGGAGCTCTCTCACTTCCCATGTCAGTGTCAGTCATTAACAAATTGAAAATTAAAGCCAGCAATAAAAATACGCTCTCAGTAGAGTGTGGAAGAATTAGATTCTCTCCAGGTTTTACTGTCCGGGTCTCCGTTCTCCTTAAAGTTTTTTAGTTTTGGATAGAGTGCAGAGGGATTAGAAGAGCTGTCAGGTTTTTATTGCTGCCTGTGTCCCCAATAAGGAGATCCACCCTCTGTGTTTGTCCTGGTGATCATTATCACTGAAAGTAAAATTTAGGCTGCATTCACACCTACCAAGAAGATGCAATTTGATATTCCTGCGTCCAGGGATAGTAATTGATTCCTAACTGCATGTAATTGTATCACATATGATTACAAGCGGTGTGCCAGAGTTCTGACTTTCAAATGCTGCCGCTTTCTCTCGATCATTAAAAGGAGAGCTACAGGGTAAATGAATTACACTCATCCCCATAGTTAGAGCCGACGTGTGACATTGAAACTATCACAGGTTGGCTCTATTGATCGAAAAGTGAGCGAAAACATACCGCCGATCCGCTCACTTCCAAATCATCTCCCTGCAGTGAGTGGTGACTGTCAGTCATCACTCATCACATGCATTCCCCCTCCTCTCTCCAATCCTCCAGTGCTGAATGGAGGGACGGACGTGGAGGGGCGGGCATAGCTGGCTCTGCCTCTAGAGAGGCAAAGTCAGCTGTCAATCAACCAGCTTGGTGGATCTCGACAGTATTGTCGGGATCCGTCCTGGCTGCGGCGCTCTCAGCATATAGAAGGCAATAACCCGCTATAGGCTGAGTTCGGGTCATGGGGGGACATAGTATATGTCCTCCCGTGACCCAAAAGAGACCTGTGGAAAAAAACGTCACCCCATAGTTCTCCTTTAACTTGAACGGGTGACAGCTGCTGCTTGTGAATGGAAGATTGGAATTCCTGCTGCAGGAAATCGCAAGTGAAATACCAAATTGCACCTACTTGGTAAGTGTGAATGAAGCCTAAAAGAAGATCCCGAAAGAGGGTTAAGTGCTCATTTTTGTGCAGAAAAAAAAAAGTTATATTCACCCGATCCTCAGAGCCTGCTTGTTCTTAGACTGGTCCCTGGAGCCTCTCTTCCCCTCCACTGCAGCAGTCTGAGGATCTTGGAGTCATCATGTTCTTTATACAGTGTATAGGACGTGAGGATGCCGTAGGACATACCATCGCTGCAGCGGAGGAGTAGAGGGGCTTCAGGAACCAGATTAGCAGTCAGACGGCTGAGAGGTTCAGGTGAGTATAACTTTTTTTAGCACCTAGACAAAAACAAGCACTAATCCCATGCAGTGCAGGGGGGTAGCCTCACTGCAAGGGTTAAGAACATTTTACCCAGGGTTTTGCTTTAAATGTGTCTGTTTGTTTTTGACTCGGAGCTCAAACAAAGAAAAATACTTACCTGATCCTTGACCCTGCCTGGCTGCTAAACCAGTCCCTGCTGCCTCTTCTTCCCCGAGCTCTGGTAGTCTAAGCCCCCCTGACGGAACTGAGAGACAACTTTCTCTCTCAAGTCTGCTCCTCTGCTCAGTTGCTGGTGTTTCAATAGCCAGTCTGCTATTGGCTGTTTCAATTTTAAAAAGCCAATAGCAGTCTCGCTATTGCCCCGGCTGCCTACATCCATCTATCGCCCGTGGAAGCTAGCCGGCAGAAGAATGGGGCCACGCGCGTGCACGGAGGGGGGGAGGGGTGGTGGTGCAAGTAGCTGGTCTTGCCTAGGGCGCAATGTCTAGCACCGGCCCTGGTTATAAAGCCCAGCATTTTTACCAAAACTTCCTTATAGAAGAATGAAAGCCTCCTAGGCCAACCCCCATTAATCTTTCTAATACAATCTGGAGAAAATGAAAGTGACAACAGTTCTTTGTATAGAAAGAATTCACATTGTTATTCCAAATTGGATGCTTCATAACATCAAACTGTTTGTGCTCACTAATGCAAATAATCCTTTTTCATGTGGGCATTCAAAAGGCCTTGCAACTGCAGTAGAAGGCTAATGTGTGCATCACCATGGACATCAGCATGGCATTTTATAAAACGTTCTGCCTGACTTACATTCCAAAAAATCATTAAAGAAGAACTCGTGGGGGGAGGGATAGTATGTTTAACCCTTGCAGTGGGGCTACCCCGGCACTGCAAGGGTTAACTACTCATTTATGTCTAGGGAGGAAAATAGAAAAAGGTATATTCACCTAATCCTCAGAGCCGGCTGGCTGTTACACCGGTCCTTCTATCATCTCTCCCCCTCCACTGCAGCGGTCTAAGGATCCTCCAGTCATCACGTTGTATGCAATGTATAAGATGTGAAGACCATCGCTGCAGCATAGGAGGGGAGAGGCTGGAGGGAGCACTGTGACAGCCGGCCAGCCCCGAGGTTCGGGTGGGTATAACTTTGTTATTTTATTCCCCGGCAATTTTTCCCCGGAATTCTTCTTTAAAACATACCTATAGGCCAAACATTTTCTTTTAGCTTTGGATGGAGTAGTTGGTTCAAACTCCGGTCTGTTGTATTTTTTTTTTATGTGTCCTGGGAGATTTCCTTTCACTTCCTGTCCCGAAGACACGACTGAAATGAAAAGGATATTTTTCCAACCTGTCAGTAGAATTATCCAAAAATTAAAAAAAAGAGGCTTGGTCTATAGATCCTCATTGAGTAAACCTCATGAAAATGCAGCGAGTGCTGTAACACACCTTATCTAATCATGTTACTAATAAACTCTACAAACAGATTCTTTACTGATGGTTACTATAGACAGCATCACTTTTTCCATCCTCAGTCCAGCAATGTAGCAACTGTTCAGCTGATAGATATAATGTCTTATCACATTAGTAACACGCCAAAATAATATTTCCTTCCAAAAAAAAAACATTAGAACACTTGCATCCAGAGATGCACCGATACCAATACTAGTATCGGTGCCCATGGGCAGCAGGTTTCCCAGCCAATCAGGAAGCCGGGAAAGGTCATTACTCGCCACCCGGATTCCTGATTGGCCGGGAAGCCGGCTCGATCCCTATTGGCTCGGAAGCCGGTTTCCTAGCTAGTCGGGAGGCAGGTCATTACTTGCCACCCGGATTCCTGATTGGCCGGGAAGCCGGCTCGATGCCAATTGGCTCGGAAGCCGGTTTCCTAGCTAGTCACAATCGAGGCGGTCAAACAACATAGAGCTGGCCTCCACATGCAATCAGGAAGCCGGGCGGCATGTCATTAATCGCCGTCTGGCTTCCTGATTTGCCGGCTCCATGCCAGCGGAAGCACCGGTATCGATGCTTGGTATCAGCGAGTAACAAAATAAAAATATCAGTACTCGATACCGAAAAACCAGTATTGGTGCATCCCAGGCAATCAAGAAGCTGAGAGGCAGGTCATTATCCGCCGCCCAGATTCCTGATTGGCCGGAAAGCTGTCTCAATGCTGATTGGCTGGGAAGCTGGTTTCCTGGCTAATCACAATTGAGCCAGCCAAACAACATGGAGCTGGCCTCCCCATGCAATCAGGAAGCCGGGCGTCATGTCATTATTCGCAGTCTGGCTTCCTGATTTCTCTGGATGCCAGCTCCATGGCAGCGGAAGCACGGGTATCGATACTCGGTATTAGCGAGTACCGGCAGCAAAATATCAGTACTCGGTACCGTAAACCGGTATCGGTGCATCCCAGCCAATCAGGAAGCCGGGAGGCAGGTCATTACTCGCCGCCCGGATTCCTGATTGGCTGGGAAGCCGGCTCGATGCTGATTGGCTGGGAAGCCAGTTTCCTGGCTAATCACAATCGAGCCGGCCAAACAACATGGAGCTGGCCTTCCCATGCTCACAGGAAGGCGGGCGGCATGTCATTATTCGCCGTCTGGCTTCCTGATTGCCCAGGAAGCCGGCTCCATGCCAGTGGAAGCACCGGTATCAGTACTCGGTATCAGCGAGCACCGAAAGCAAAATATCAGTACTCATACTCGATACCGAAAAAATTGTATTGGTGCATCCCTACTTGCACCATAACTGCTCTTTAACTACTATAATGCATAGATCAGCAATAACAGAATTACAGGCTAATGTTCAGTAGGCATTGCATTGCCGAATGTGAAGTACTGTAGAAGCAACTTCACATACACTGAGCTATATAAACTATGTGCTATGCCATTAAAGGCAAGTCTTATTATCTTCTGACAAAATGCATAGGAGGGGACTGTAACAGTATCTGTTAAATCTGCTTGCTCATGTACAGTCATCCTATGCATAGTTTTTGTTGCTAGATTGGTGTACGATAGGGCCAGAATCTCTTTGCATGCTTTACATAAGTGTGGTTTTGCTTCTTGCTTTTGTGTAATGCATAATAGAACAAGCACATGGTGGTGCGTACAGGAACAGGGCGTACCCTTCAGAGGCCTCACTAGCAGCTCAGAAGTACTGAATATTAACCTTTTCACTCCAGTCTGTGAAATTTAAAGAGGAACAGGCATACCGTATATACTCGAGTATAAGCCGTCCCGAATATAAGCCGAGGTACCTAATTCTTTTCAACACCATTACTCCGGCTGGCCATGAGGAATGGGTCCGCCTGGCTTTGGCTAGGTGGACACGAGTGCCTTGCCCCTTTCAGGAGCCTTGCAACCTGGGGGGTCAGAGATATGGCCCCGTCTCTTCAGGAGACAGACCATTTAGATATACACTTTATGCACTTTTTTGTGTGTGTTCACATGCACCTTTTTGTTAAATTTTGGGTGTTCGATGCACGCACCTCGTGCTTCAAAATTTTTTTTAAATGCAGTGCTCGAAGAGTAATTGTGTTAGCAACCAAAACCCAAAAAATGACATATAATTAGATTACGCTTACTTGGTGCGTCTTTTCATATATTTACAAGAGTTCTGCAAAACGGTGTATCTTAATCGATCACAAAAAACACCCCCAAAATTCTCCTTATTGTAATGAAATTCATACAAAAGCCTCGCACTATTTTACTTATTTGTGAGCATTAGGCTACATGCACACTAACACTATGTACGATTGGATGCATTTATATGTGTTTAATGCATAAATATGCCACCAATGATTCCCTAAGGCTCTATTCACACTCACACATTTATCAAAACTTGAGAAGACAGAATTTGGAGCAGTTGCCCATTGCAACCGATCAGCATCTCTCTTCAGTTTTCTCATGCAAGATTTGAAAATGAGACAAAGAAGCTGATTGGTTGCAGTGCATATCTGCTCCAGAATTTGTCCTCTCCAGTTTTGACAAATTCCCTCCAATTTTGTGTTTACATGCTTTTTTCTGCAGTCAGTTATCTGCATTTAAAAAAAAAAATAGAAGTCAGGTGCATCTAGGAATCAATTTGAACTTCTAAATACACCAAAATGCATGTAAATGCGTTTTGATGATAGGATTTGGTACCAGATGCACCTAAATGCATGTAAACGCATGTAAACATGTGTTATTTAAAGCATCTAGAAGTAAAAACACAGCATCTAGCCTGACAGATTTTCTTCTGCATATAAAGGACAAAAACGCAAGTGTGAATATAGCCGCATAGTAGAACTATGAGGTGAGTGATTTCAGGAAGCCGGGCAGCAAGTCATTACACGCTGCCCGGCTTCCTGATTGCTTGGGAAGCCGGCTCCATGCTTCCTCATCACTTGTATCACTCCCGGCCAATCAGGAAGCCGGACAGCGTGTAATGACTCGCTGCCCGGCTTCCTGATTGGATCGGGAAGCTGGCCGATCAGGAAGCCGGGCACCATGTAATGACGCGGCGCCCGACGTTCTAATTGGCCGGGAAGCCAGCTTCGTGCTCCCTCATAAGGAGGGAGCATGGAGCCGGTTTCTTGGCCAATCAGAAAGCCGGGCACCACATCATTACACGGCGCCCGGCTTCCGGATTGGCCAGAAGGCCGGCTCCATGCTTTCTTGTCATCTAGAGACGAGAATCATGGGGATGGCTTTCCTGCTAATCGTGAAGCTGGGTGGAGAGTCTTTACACCCTGCACCGGCTTCCCGGCTAATCAGGAAGACAGGTGTTGAGTCATTACACGCCGCCTGGGTTCCTGAATGGGACTTCCGGTATTCGGTATCGGCGTGTACCAAAAAAATAATAATTACGGTACTCGTAATTACGGTATTCGGTATCGGCGTGTACCAAAAAAAAAATAATTACGGTACTCGTACTTGATACCGAAATACCGGTATCCGTGCATCCCTAGTGAACAGTTTGGAGAAGGAAGGCGAAGTGAACAATCCAGGACAACATAACTGAACTGGAAAGTGAGCTGAATTAGAGAATGTTTCCAAATCAGCTATTTTGTCCTAAATTGTTCAGTTCTCATGTCTTCTCCAAACGCTTCACCCTTTTGTTATCCCTGCTGCTGAACACTAGTGAACCACTAACTTTAGCAGCTAGGATCTCCTCCACTATTATGGACCCTGGCTTAAACTTGTGCTTGAGATAAAGCACTTACCAAAAAGCCACATGGGAAGAGATGCGAGTGACAGCAACGAATGGGACAGAGGTGTGCACACCCTTTAAAATTCAATAGCTCATAAAGAGCCTTATAACTCCTATCAGCATCCCCTGCAACCCTTGCCCAAAGATCTCTTGCTGATGGTGGCCAAAATGTCCAGAAGTGGACAGAGGAGAAAACAAACTAAAGGGATACATTTATTATAGTTTGTAAAGTTCGAGGCTTGGTGCTGAAGACACCGGCTAATGCTCTAACATAAGTAATAGCATTGGTCACACTTCTGATTTTAAAGGAGAACTATGGGGTTAGGGCCTTTCCCCATAGTTCTACTAAGGGTAACGGGAGGACACAAACTAGCGTCCTCCCGTCACCCAAAGCTCAGTATACCGCGAGCTACAGCTCGCGGTATACTGAGACGTCGCAGCCGGAACGGATCCCGACAATTATGTCTGGATCCACCCAGCTGCATGAGTGACAACTGGCTCTGCCTATCTAGAGGCAGAGCCAGCTGTACCCACCCCCTCCCCCGTCAGTTCCGCCAGTCAGCGCTGGAGGATCGGACAGGGGAGGGGGAATCCCGCCCCTCCCCTGTCACGGCTCTCTGCCGGCACAGGATCGAGAAGTGAGCGTGCGCCGGTATGTGTTCGCTCACTTCCCGATCTACTGAGCCGACCTGTGACAGTTTCATTGTCACAGGTCGGCTCAGATCATGAGGCTGAGTGAAAATCACTAACCTCATAATTCTCCTTTGAACGTGTTGTTTTGCTATTGTGTATCAAATAAGAAATAAATGACTTTGCTGTGTGAAATTAGAGGATTAGACTGCAAAGAGGCAAAAATATTTTTTGGGGTATAACTATAAAATATAAATACAGGGCATAATAAATACGTCTTGTGATACATTAATCTCTGTTTACACTGGAGATGTCACATTTTCTTGTATTCAGGCGGTTAAATGTTTTAGTCAGTTTCGTAAATATTGTCCACTAAATAAAGTTGTGACTGGAATGGATACCAGTTTAAGAATATTACCAGTAAGTACTTAAATGTGTAAATGATATTTCTCTGCAATGACCAAGAGAACTCAAAATACCTAATGACTTGCAATTACCTGCTCCCACAATAAGGACCTTGGCTCCACAGCTATGGAAACAATGCAGCAAGGACCTGGAACGGATGTTGTAGTTAAGAAATGCCACCTGGCAGCCAAGTTTAGCCAACCCAAACCACACGTTGAGAAAATCTGGTTCATTGTTCATAAGCATAGCGACGGTATCCCCCTTTTTCAATGAAGAATTCTTCAAGAAATATTGGGACACCTGATTGCTCCTCCTGTCCACATCTCGGAAGGTGTAGGTATCTCCGTGGAATATTATAAAAGCCTTATCAGGTACCCGCTGAGCTTGCTGAACAAAACGGTCTACAACAGTCACTACATGACCTGTCCTTTTATACTTCTCAATCAGAAGTCCGTAGCGGATCACTTTCAGCAGGTATCTCAGGTCAGCCCAAAAGTAGGGGAAAAACTTCTTCTGCAGGAAATGCAGAGCTGCCAGGCCTGTCAGAAGTCCTGTTATCCAACAAAGATCCATCGAGCACTACGTAAGAACTCTGCACAAGAGGAAACACCTTATACAATCAAGGATGCAGTGAGTAGACAGGTGGGTCCAGTAGATGCCATAGATCACCCAGACCAGCAACAGAGCATGCCTTTATCAAGCTGAAATAAAAGAAAAAAAAGGAAATTAGTGACGTCAACAGTGCAAATGTATGCAAAGTAAACAACCAGTCAAAAACCCAGAGGCTGTTTACTGATTCAAAACTGCTAGTAGAAGTAGTAAACCTGAAACAATACAGTAATCTCTTGCCTCTCACCTACTTTCAGTCTCACTGCAGGATCCTTCTACAAATATTTCTTTACATAACAGAAGGAAGCAAGGGCGACTTTCTTTGCAGTTCCATGGTTTTTCCTGCAAGTCTGCAGTGCTGAAAAATCTCAGTCCGCTCAGCCTTATACGAAAGCATTGTGGGCTTATTGCTTTCAATAAAAGGGGATGGGACCCGAGACTGATGAGCCATGGGATCTGTCCACTCCCAACTGATGTAGAGACACAGCCTACTTGTTTACCAGCCAAAGCTTAGATAACACCCAGATAAACGCCTCACTCAGTGCTACAAAGGCGGCTGATGAAGCCTGTCAGGGAGGGAGCAGACTAGCAATGAGGAAGTGTCTTATGTTATACAATGAACTGTTATATAGGATATAGTCACTGAGGAGGACATCTGAGGCTCGGAGGTTTATCAGGAGGAAATAAGCTGATTAATCATGTTGCTTCTGTTTAGGCAGAGAAGGCGCACTCAGCACAACTTGTTGGCAAACAACTAATTCAGGTTATGCATGATGTATAGGAGATTTGGTCCTAAACCTTAGTAATCCACTCCAGGGGATGCAGGAGCATCCAGTGAGTACAGGTAAAATGCTTTATTCACTCTACATATGAATTCGACAAACTACGGCTTATCTCAGGATACTTAATGCAGCTGATTCGATTAAGCTTGTAAAGAGATATTATAATTAGCAGGACTGATTCTAGCCATGCCAGTTTTAAAAGAGAACTATGGGGTAAGTGTTTTTCCCATAGCTCTCTTCAGGGTCACGGGAGGACATATACTAACCTCCTCCTATAACCCAAATCTCAGTATAACAGTAGAAAGTTATGGCACACTCACAAGCCAGCTTGTAAAAAAACTTGTCTCACCATTAAGGTTAACAACAGAGGTTTGGATGCACGTCTTCTGCAGAAAATGTGAAAGCCGCACAGCCGCACCAAGGCACCTCTTATAGTGCGGTCCTAACTCTAAACTATGAGAGTCTCCATCTTGGAGCACATGGGGGCAAAAGCTCAGTATATCGCAGGCTATTGCCCGCTCTATACTGAGAGCGCCGCAGCCGGGAGGGATCCCGACAATACTGTCGAGATCCGCCCAGCTGTGTGAGTGACAGCTGGCTCTGCCTATCCATGGCGGCAGCTGCTGGAACGCACAGCAATCGCTCACAAAACTTCCCCCTTCATTCTGGGGCGGGAGGGGGTGTGGCAGTGCATTGAAGTCAACGGCTTGCAGCCATGCCATCCACCCCGAGGCCCGCAGTGCGATCGGACGCGTGGCAAAACATTGCCTACGTTCCGGGTCCACTATGAAGCAAAACATAGAGCAAGCACCATTTTTTGCATTTGCAGTGGACCGCAACGCAGGCAATGTTTTGCCACGCGTCCGATCGCATTCTGGGCGTGGGGCGGCGTGGCTGCGGTGCCCATGACTTCAATGCACCGCCACGCGCCCTCCTGCTCCACAGCGAAGGGGGAAGTTTTGTGAGCGATTTCTGTGCATTCCAGCAGCTGCCGCTCTGAAATGCACCGCAATTGGTGTGAAAGGGCCCTAATGGTAATGGCACAGCAAGTGCGTTTTGCATTTTTAGCACATTTGGTAAATGCCTATCAAAGCACACTTTTTTGTGCGTTTGACACGCGTACACGAAGCGATCAGGTGTGAATGGGGTCTTACTAAAGGCAAAACATTTTTTTCTCATTTTGTATAGAGTGGTGGAGGAGTTAGAACCTCTGTCAGGTTATTTTGCTGTGTGTGTCCCAGATAGGGAGATGCACTCTCTGCATTTTTACACAACACACAAACGCATGTACAATTTACATAAAATGAAGGAAGATTATCCCACAAAAGGAAATGATTGCACTGAATACAGAAAAAAAGCATACAAAACGCACATTAACAGATGTCAATGTGCATAAAAACACACTAGCCTTAACTTTACACAGTCTCTTCTGCCCTATAAAATCTCTCTGTCAGCAATTTTTAGATACAAGACTTCACTTCCACTTTGAAGTGGAACTCCGGGCACTCATTTTATTAACCCTTGCAGTGGAGCTACCCCCACATTGCAAGGGTTAAAGTGACATTAAACCCTCAGATGTTTTAACATAAAACAATACTGTAATGTGTACCTTACTCTAATCCATGGTTGTTTCCCTTCTCTTTGCTGCTCTTCCTTTTAAATCTGTATCTGTTCTCATGCGGGGCAGAACTTCTGTTTTGCAGCAGACTGCCTTGTCTCTGAAATGGATACATGGTGTCTGTGTATAGGTTTGCAACCTGAGATAGCACTACAGGAAGAGGCACTCAGCTGCAAAGGGAAGTTCTCCCCAAGCATGATAAGACATGAGGAGTTAAGGGAAGAGCAGCAAAGAGAAGGGAAACGACCATGGATTACAGTAAGGCGCACATTACGTATTGGTTTATGTTAAAAAATCTGAGGGTTTAATGTCACTTTTTAAGTGCTTGTTTTTTTTCTAGGTTCAAAAATAAAAAAGTTATTCTCATCTGAGGCTTGCTCTTAGACTGGTCCCTGGAGCCTCTCTCCCCCTCAACTGGAGTTGTGTAAGGTTCGAGTCGTCACGTTCTATACACTGTGTAGAGGACATGAGGATGCCGAGGAACATACCATCTCTGCAGCGTAGAAGGAGACAGGCTGGAGGGTGCCAGCTGGCTCTGAGGATCAGGTGAGTATAACTTTTTTTTTAACCTGGATACAAATGGGCAGTTAACCGTTTCAGTGCGGGGGGTTAGATATTGTACTCATATGGGAACCTTTAAAGTGGACTTTTCCCCATATCTTCAAAATAACAACAAACACGCCTTTAGAAATGTTTAGTAATAACAATCTACAAACACATACATAGAGATAATTGCAGGCTTAATTGCATACCTTATTTCTCTTTTCTTCCCCAGTCTTCTGGCAGTGGCCATGTTTACTAAGGGCAGGTTACTGGCTCTCCTATTACTTCCTGGAATTCTGGCACATGTGACTAGTATATGTGACCATGCACATCATCTCAGGGGAGGAAAATGCATTTCCCTGAGATCTGGTGAGATTACAGATAAGGTTTCCCAGCAATGCTCTGCTGATGACGATGCAATCCCAGTGTGCATTGCTTTGCCAAACCGATGTCATTTTGCCCTTTCAATGTTCTGCAAGTGTAAGTATTTCACAATCACAGCATTCTACAACTGACATATATATGTTATTATTAATCATCATACACAGAGGGATGCATTAGTAGAATTAGATTCATGAGTGTAAACATCCGATTTAACACCCCTTTAACCACTTGCTGACCAGGGTGTTTACACCCCCTTCCTGTCCAGGCCATTATGTCAGTGTTCAGCGCTGCGGTACTTTGATTGACGTTTATTTCGTCATGCAACACTGTAATTAAATGAATTTTATACAATTGTTTGAGGACAGATAGAGCTTTCTTTTGGTGGCATTTAATCACCACTGGGGGTTTTATTTTGTACAATATAAGAAAAAAAGTACTGAATATAAAAAAAAAAAAACCTTTTTCCCTTTATTATTTTAGGAAACATTTATTTTTACCCAATTTTTTGGTAAAATATAAAAACGGGGTCACGTTGGGTAAATAGACACCAAACATGTGAAGCCTTAAAATTGCGCGTGCCCGCGAAATCCACAAAAAAACTTCCATAGCCAAAATTGGCCATAGGCGACGCTATAAAAGATTTTACCGCTCATCATTTTAGTGTCATCAGTGGTTAATGGCCCAATAATGATTGCTCTCACTCCGATGTTTGCGACGATATGTAACATGTGTGGCATACTTGGAGCAATCGTCGTTTTTGCGTGTAGGTGCACCTAATGCATTTTTGCACATCTTTGTGGGGGAGGGGGACTTTAAAACCTTTTTGTGGGGGTTTGTGTGTGTGTGTGTGTAAATTTTATTTATTTTGTGAGCAATTTTTTTTTTTTTTTACTTAATTTTTTTTTTACACTTAACTTTATTGTTATCACATAGGGTGCTAAGAAGAACCCTGTGTGATAACAAATTACAGTGACAGGTCCCCTTTATGGAGACATCAGGGACCTCTAAGACCCCTAATGTCACCTAGGGACCCCCAGAGAAGCTGATGAAGCACAGATGTGCTTCATCAGCTTCTCTCCGGTTTCTGTAGCGGAAAGTGACAGAGGAATGCGGAAGTGATGTAGTATACATCACTTCCTGCATTCAGAGACCGGGAGGAGAGCGGAGGAGAGGGAGATTTGGTACCTCAACTCCCTCCGCTCTCAGAGCAACATCGCCCGGGATGGATGGACGCCCAAGAGCGCGGGGACAGCAATGGCGAGAAGAGGTAAGGGGGGAGGGGGCGTGCGCACTGACTTGCATCACACACCATGACTTGCATCATACAATCATACGGACCGCTTGTATGTAAACGGCCATCGCTGGCCGTTTAAAATCCTGGCGGTTTCCCACTCGCATCCAGGAGACTCCCGTCTGGCCGTCTTTCAACGTTCGGCAGACGGGAGGTGGTTAATGGCGATCTGTGAATAGTGATGTTTATATAAAGTGATATTAAAGTCAAGTTTTTACAATATTTCAAATGCTGATGAAATCTCTTACAATGGATGCTGCTCCTTGATGTTTAAAAGTTGTAATTTCCTGCAGGATCAGCTGGTCCCCTGAGCACTGGCCCTGATATCCTATTTAGGGTGGGTCATTTCCCTTGTAGGGTCCTATGGAGTCACCCTTGTGTGTACTAGTAAGCTGTGTTTCTCCACAGACACAGCAAGGCAAGCCAGTCCTTGCTCTCTACTTCCCACTCCTCTATCCTCTCTCCTTTCTTCTCTCTCCTCCTAGCTAGTAGAAGGACAGTTGCTGGAGACTGTCCTGTCCCTTGCGAACTTGTACTGGATAGAAAGTTCAGGGAAGGTGAGCTGAGAGAAATGGAGTCAGATGTGTGGAAACATGATGACTTTAAGTGTTTGGGCAAAAATCTAAAGAAATACTTTGCTGAGCAATGTATATTTGTTTGATCTGGATTTATTATTGAAACGGCCGGACGGGAGCCTTATAGGAGTGGGAGGACGTCTTAAGACGTCCTGCCCCTCCCCACGCTCGTGTGCGACACTCAACAGGCACACGAGTGGGGAAACTGTTAGCAATGTAACCAGCCAGCGATTTCTGTTTACATTCAAGCGATTAGGCGTCTCTAGAGACGCCCGATCGCTTGTAGTAGCTGCGGGTTTACGCCCCCCCCACCGTCGTCGTCGTCGCTGCCAGTC